TGACGACTTCAAAAACCTCCTGAGCCTCTCCGAAGTTAAACTCCTCTGGAGCCCATAGAGAGTGATACTGCTTCACTTTGGCATCTACGATGTCCGACGGGTGGAAGAGACGCTTGCCATCCACGCACAGCTCGTCGGAAGCCTGAGGAGCGGCACGCAGGGAGCGATGCACGGCGCCCATCGCGGACTCTTGGACGATCCAGTCCTGGAAGTCCCGAAGAGAGGCCTGAACAGCCCTACGCTTGGCACGTTGTGATATCTTGCTGGCTTGTACATGCATGTCTTCAAGTATTTTAATATCAATAGTGCTGATATCCTGTAGGTAATGCAACCAACGCTCCCAAGAAAACTTATGCTTACCATGAATAAGGATGGTATGAGCCCCTTCAGGTATATCATTGACTAAACGCAGAGCGACTGAGGCGAGTGAGGCAATCTGCTGCAGACCATTCTGTCGCGAACGGTGCCGACAACATCTCAAAAGGACCGTGTGCAAGCGACACCACCATGCTGCAACATAATCGGAGATAGGCGCCCCGCGAAGATGCTCAGCTTTGCGCGCGACATGCTGGACTAGATGCGGACCGACAGCACGTGATGCGCCCTGCTGCAACTCTCCCCCATGATGAACCAGAACAGATTTTTCGACAGACTTGACCCAAGACGCGTAAAGCCCGCTGATGTGTAGAATGTGGGGCCCTCCGATATGATACGCGCCCGATTCCCGAACAACAGGCCAGACATCGTCAGCAACTTGATGCGTGTAGCCAACTTCGTGCCGCTGCTGCTGCCACACATGAGGGGGGGTGGAGAAGGAGGGGGAACTGTCAACAGGCTCGGTGCCCTGGGACCTCCCCTCAGCCTCCAAAAAACGGCCGGCGCCACTAGGTGGGGACCCTGGATTTTCATCATGCGCGAGTGGTGACTGCACAGCAGGAGCACTAGTAGACCATTGAACGTCTTGGGCCCAAGGATCGGGCTCTTCGTCCCAATCTGCCAGAGCCTGAGAGTTAAAAGGGTCTGTGGGGTCCTCGGGGCTGCTACTGCACTCCTCATCCACCTGTACCTGGGAGGGCCTGAGAAGATCCCCAAAAAAACTTGTGGCACGCTTCGTCGAATTTGGCCTTGAAAGCGGCACGGCGTTCTTGTTTAGACTTCTTGGCCAACTGCGATTTGCCCCCAGCCTGAGGGGCGACCGAAGGGCGGACGACCTGCGGCAATTTACGTGGGAGCATGAGGGACCGAGTGATAAGCTGCATGCCTTGACTACGCAACCTGACACTGAGCCCGCAATGCGTGCCCCAAGGCACGTCGAGGATGGGGAAGAGGCCGAGGACGTAAGGACAAGCCGACTTAGAAGCCAGCATGAAATCTATATGTGATCCGCCCGTGCCTGTAACGCAAGTGTGTTCGATATCCGAAACAAAAACGTATGCACCTACTTTCTCTATAAACCCGCACTTGGCGAGCTCTAACGGCGACATGTTGAAATCCCCTATGAGAATCCACGGAAGCTGCAAGGTGGCAACAAGGGCCCCAACCCGAGAGAGCCGCCCAGCGTTATCCCCGTGGAAACCGAGGGAAGAAAGGCCGTAGTAGGTAATAACTACAAGGGAATAGCCACTGAAATGAATGACGACAGGGACGAAGCCGTCAAACGAATCACTGCCAGAACAAAGCTCAGGAAACTTAGAAGGACTGCCGAGCGAATGCACCTGCCTGTGACCCTGGGCCAAAAACAGTTCACCCCCCTCTCCGCGAGCACCCCTGGACTCAAGCTGATGGTCCTTGGGCCGAGCGGGGTTGAAAAAAGACTTAAACTTACTAGCACGAATCTTGCCTTGCCATCTGTCTTGCTGGCTGGCGAAGATATGAGTCTCCGCGATAGCCATGTAGTGATGCGCCTCTCTGACGGGGCGTGATCGTAGGAAGTTCCACGCTTGCTCGCCCCAGCAAGAAACGCTGCCGAACAAAATTGAACTAAAAGGTGACGGCTCGTCACACTCGCAAGGCGCTCCTGGAGCGCCCTCACTTGATGACAAGGAAGCCGCCGAGGTCGACGTAGGGCCACTGTCCCCATGCTCACCAGCGTCTCCCCCAGCTGAACCACGAGGAGACAGCGCCTGAGACGCGGGTGTGCACATACCAGTGAATGTCTGACTTGATGATGAAGCCGTTGTCGAGGCTGCAGACTGGGCTCGACTGGCGGAGGCTCATGCTCCGCCCGAGACACTCTCCTGCGACACGGCCTCCTTCTGCTGCTTGGCAAGCTCCGCGGCCTTGAACTTGGCTTCGGAGATGCGCTTCGCCTCGTTGACGATGGCCGTCTCGTCGGGGGCTGGCGGAGCGGTGGCGGCGACTGGCGGCCCCGCGGCCGCTGCTGCGCCACCCGAAGGGGCTGTCGCGGCCGCGGGTGGCGCAGGGGGGGCGCTGGCCCCTGCGCTGGCGCCGTCGCTGCTGCCACCGCTCGCCTCGGCCGTGCCATCGACCCCCTTGCGCTTCTTCCCCATGCGATCGTTGACTGTCTGCTTGAGCTGCTCCATGCGATTCTTCCACTCCGTGATCTTGGTGTTGCGCTCGCTGAGGTTAGAACGTGCCTGCTGTAGCTCGCTCTCTAGCTTGCGCAACTCAATGCGTTCTGATTCCTCACAATCATACTCGTCAAGCCGACTGAAGAACTCCTCATCCCACTGCAAATCGAACAAGTTGGACTTGAGGTCCGCCTGACTGGACGAGAGTGAATCACCAGCGAGGACCCCTGACTCCTTGGCCAGCGTGATGATCGCCAATTTCTTGGCGGCCTCGGCGCGTGCCAAAATGACTGCAGCCTCGGCCTCTTTGATCTCTGCCTTGTGTAAGCTGTCACGCAACTTGAGCACTTGATGAACAGATTGGTCGTGCTTGGCATGAGCGTCTCGAAGAGCACTGTCCGCGCGCTTCACCGACTCCTCAGTGGAAACAGGCTTCGGAGAGGGAGTGCTGCGCAGCGCTGACATCTGTTCTAAGAGAACCTTCTTCGTGCTCATGTCCTTGGCGTCAGCCATCAGCTGAGTGAGCATGCTGAGCATGCGCTGGTTGTCATCAGAGACGGCGCCACTCGCTGCTGCACTGGACGTACTGCTGTCGCCCTTGCTGCCGTTGGCGTGCACCAAAGAATTGTCCTGGCTACCGACTGTCGATGCGTCCTTCTTGGGTTTGGCCTTGAAGACCTTGACTGGGCACCTGCATTTGCTACACTGATTGTTGCGAGTAGACAGAATGTCATTCCACTCGGTCGTCCCGCACTTTGCGCACTTACTCCACAGGCGAGGTCCCAGTCCTGACATGGCCCTGCTTTCGCAGCCGAAAACAGCTAACCTCTGAGGATGTGCAGGTCCTCAAGGACGGCGGGTTCGACTCCCCCCAAGCACCACGTGGCGGCGCAGGGCTGGGCAAGAGCAAGATGCCACGCGCACGGGGGCGTGTGGACTTGGTGCTCGAGCCCATATGGCTTGAGAAGAGAAGGAGGAGGATAGGGGAAACTTCGAAGGAACACGCAGAACGCCCCAAGACTCCCAGAGACGCCAAAGAGCTCATGGGCACCACGGGGACCAGCTGGAGCACACCCAGAGGATCCACAACCTCCAAAGTGGAGTCTTGCCCTCCAGTCTAGAGGCCTTTTTTCCTCCATTCCTAGTGTTCTAGTGTTCTTCGTCCATAAAGGAGGATCACTCTCCGTTCTGGGGGCGCCCTTTCCTCCATTCTGAATGTTCATCGACAGCGGGAGCTCGATCTCCAGAGCTGACGTTTGCTCATGTACGCCTGCGTTTCCCTCTTATACTTATGTGTATTGATTGATCGATGTGTTGCTGTTGCCATTATGAGAACACTGCTGTGCTCGTTGTTATATGTTCATATTCGTTTTACTTCAGGCAAAACCATTGTGGGTTGACCACTAAGTGGATTGCCAACTCCTCCAGGCGACGGACCTCCTGGGACCACGCAGAAGGCCCCAGGACTCTAAAGACGCCCAAAAATCACTGCCCCAAGCCTGCTCGATACTCGATCCTTCCCCCCTCCTCGATCGATCCTCTATTTCCAGGGCGCGGTGGTGACCCGCCCAGCGGTGACCCCCTGGGCACTGACCGAACACTGCTCCCATCCACTTTGTCCCTCCAGAATGGTTGAAGGGGCCCAGGGACATACTGGGCTCTCGCTTCCCCCCCCCTCCACTTCCCACAGTTTCCCATACGTTCCTGGGAATCGACGATAAGTTGTGTCTCTGTGTTTCTTCCCCTCCAGAACAGCAGTAGTTTTTGTGTATCCACAACGGCACGTTGACCTGGAATCGGCGATACCTCGCCGATCGATTTCGGTCCAGCATGTCCTCTTACCTGTGGGTTTGACAGAAAACTAAAATTGGCCCAAAAGGTATTCAAATGGACAAAAGAGCACGAAACATCGTCCCCAGGCTATCGTTTTACTACTTGCATCTTCCTACTGTAGAGTGACATGCCCGACTTAGCGATAGATCGGCGATGGGCCTCCACTGGGGAAGCCGCGCGTTCTGGGCGGGGCTGGGCTCTCAGGCCCTTCTCGGCGATGCATGGGCGATCGGGGGTCGATGCGTCCCACCCCTGAGCGTATCCGTCCCTGCTGCTGCCTCCTGGCTTTCGGGTCATGGCTCGGCTCTCTGGCGGCCGCTCGGGACGATCCGCGCGCCCTGAGGCGCCTCTCGGCGAGGCGCAGCTGCCGGAGAGCACCCCGAGGCTGGAGGAGACCGCCGAGTACCGAGGCAGACGCCCGAAGGCCTCGACGCTCGAACCCGAAACGTGCCTCCCGGGCGGCAGGCACCCGCGGAGGCCAGGGCCTTCCCTGGGATCGACTCCGCGCCGTCGTCGTCGTCGTCGTCGTCGTCGTCGTCGTCGTCGTCGTCGTCGTCGTCGTCGTCGTCGTCGTCGTCGTCGTCGTCGTCCGCCGGGCGGCGAGGCGCGCGCGCGCGTCTTCGCCGAGCGCGGCGCGCAAAGCTCCCGCCTCGGCGCAGAGCTGCGCCCAGCCGGTCGCCAGCTGCGCCGGGGGGGTCGCCGGCAGCGTGAGCGGGCGCGGACGCAGGCGCAGACCCGTACAGGCGCCCTGTACTTACGAGTACGTCGAAAAACGAAGAGCGTGTGCATCAAGAAGAAGAAAAGTAATCATATAATATAATAATATCAGTAATATCAATACTAATCGTAGCACAAATATTGATACAACTATTGATGAATGTCGAAGTTTTAATGATGTGAATAACGATAATAACAGTAATCACAATGACCATAACATTATTAATAATAGTAGTAATACTACTGATGATGATACGACTGATATTAACAGTATAATGATACTGATAATACTACGAATAATACGAATGGCAAGGATACAAATGATAATACTAATAACACTACTAATAATAATCGTGATGTGCATGGTAGCAGGAGTAGTCGCACGGAGAATACTAGAAGTATGGATGACAAGCATGCTCGTAGGAGTGTGGCGACAGTGAACATTGACCGACATTCGCGAGAGTTGCCACCGCCAGTGAGGGCACAGCCCAGATGCGCACTACGAGTGTACTGCACTTTCGCCTGTGGGAAGAAAGCACGAGCTCCGAACAGGAGTATCAGAGGCCCGCACTGACGCACCCCTGGGCCCTCCTGGGAGCCTCCTGGGGGCTCTCCCCCAGGCCGCCTGGAAGGCCCCCTGGGGCCGTCCTGCAGGCCCGAGGCCTCTCGGGGGCCTCAGGCCCCTCGGGGGCCCGAGGCCCCTCGGGGCCGCGCCCTCCTTGGCGGCCCGGGCGGGCCCAGCCCAGGGAGGGCAGCGCGGTCGGGCCGGGGCCCGGGAGGAGGGCCGCGTGTGGCGGTGCGGCGGGCGCGCCCCGGGAGAACCCCCAGACCTCCTAGCGCCGTGCAGGGATCACGGCGGCCGGACCTCCAGGGTTTCGGCCTCCAGTGGTGGTGGGGGGGGGGGCGTGTCCGGGGCCCGCAAGCAAACAGAAGCAGGGCGGCTGCAACGAAAAGGCGGTTGATGAGAAAAGGCGGTCGTGGGCATGGAGGCTGGTTCGTTCCTGGGGGCCCGCGTCGGGAAGAAATCATAATCGTCGGAACTCCTGGGCACCACAGGGACCAGCTGGAGCACACCCAGAGGATCCACAACCTTCAAAGCGGAGGCTCGCCCTCCATTCTGGAAGCGTTTTTGTTCCTCCATTTCTAGTGTTCTTCGTCCACAAGGGAAGATCACTCTCCGTTCTGGGGGCGCCCTTCCCTGCATTCTGAATTTTCATCCAGATCGGAAGCTCGATCTCGAATTGACATGTGTTAATGTATGTATACCTCTTCTGACTGTAGTAGAATTACGATGTGCATTGATTATGTTTACCGTTGTGTTTAAAATACGTGAAAAATATGGGCACTACGACAAATAATGATGTTACGAATTTACACACTCGTGCAATTTCATCCTGGCAATACTGCAGATACGAATCACAATACTGATAAGAGTACTAATCATAATCACAATGATAGTGAAAGTAGCATGGATAATGCAACACCGCTTACATAATTATTGTTAACGTATGAGTGCTACTGGTGTTCTGAGAATGCGTTTTCTTACTTGAACTTCACCACGGCGACTACCACTACAACAACAACTACTACGACTACTCCTTCTAATAGTACTACTACTACTACTACTACTACTACTACGACTACGACTACGACTACTACTACTACTACAAACTACTACTACTACTACTACTACTACTACTACTACTACTACTATTACCACCACTACTACTACTACTACTACTACTACTACTACTACTACTACTACTACTACTACTACAACTACTGATACTACTACCACTATGACTACGACGACTACTACGACTACTACTACTACTACTACTACTACCACTACCACTACGACTACTACTCCTACTACTCTATTGTTACTACTACTACTACTATTACTACCACTACTACTACTACGACTGATATGATTACTACTACCACGACTCCCACTAGTAGTAGTAGTAGTAGTAGTACTACCAGGACTACTACTACTACTACTACTACTACTACCTCTACTACTACTACTACTACTACTACTACTACTACTGCTACTACTCCTACTACTACTACTTCTTCTACTACTTCTACTACTACTACTACTACTTCTACTACCTCTTCTTCTATTACTACTACTACTACTACTACTACTACTACTACTACTACTACGCCTACGACTACTACTACTACTACTACTACTACTACGACGACGACGACGACGACGACGACGACTACTACTACTACTACTACTACCACTACTACGACTACAACTACTACTACTAAGTACTCTTACTACCACTACTACTATTACTACTCCTACTACTACTACTACGACTACTACTACTACCACTACTACTACTAATAATAATAATGCTACTGCTACTACCACGAGTACTAGTACTGATACTGCTACGACTAGTACTATTCGTAGCACGACTACTACGACTAAGACGACGACTCTTACTTCTAGTAGTAGTAGTACTATTCATACGATTACTGCGGCTACTTCTACTACGACTACTACTGTTACTACGACTACGATTACTACTACTACTACAACAACTACTACTACTACTACTACTACTACTACTACTACTACGACTACGACTACGACTACGACTACGACTACCACTACTACTACTACGACTACGACTACTACTACTACTACTACTACTACTACTACGACTACTACTACTGGTACTACTACTACTACTACTACTACTACTACTACTACAGTTGCTACGACTGCTGCAATTACTGCTACTACCACTCCAACTACTACTACTACTACTACTACTACTACTACTACTACTACGACAACTACTACTACAC